TTCCCTACAATTATGAAAAAAACCCATTCAATTCCTTCTCTGCCTTCTAACACAGAACTCTGCAAGCTGCGTTAAGCAGCAGTGGAACTGAAATATCTGAAACTGAGACAACATAGCGTTATGTGACAAACTGCCTGAAAACTGTAAATCACAACTGAATTAGTTACTCGGGTGATTGACTGCCTTTTCAGGGTGCTTGTACAAGTGCTAACTGCCTAACAAATGGAACCCAATTCATGACTGCAGCCTCCAAGCACTGCCACAATACACTGCTCATTAGAATGACTGTAGGCAAGTGGCATTTAGATTTTACAGACGTCCAAACCAAAATCCAGCAAATAGCCTAGAGAATTGCACGCCCTCAAAGTGTTACCTTTTGAAATACAGACACCAGCACACACTGAAACTAGGGGTGCCAGAAATGATGGAAATAAGCACATTTTTAACCAAGTAGCTCAGGGGGAGTTGATATCACAGGGCAACCTAAAAGGGTTAACACAAAAGCTGCTGTTTGTAACTGAAATGGCAATTGGAGCAATGCTCTGTGCTGTTTCCGTTTCAGAGGAAAGGGAAACAATAAGCCTCCAGTCTGAAGAACATGCCAGCCCTATTTAAGACCGCACTGTTGCCTAGCAAAAAGCTTCCCTTGCTCATTACACAATAGAGCAGTTAACAAACATTACCTTTGGGAATTTTGAATTTATCATCCTTCCTGTACCACAGACAGCCTTGCTGCGTGCTCAGTATTTTGACTGGATATTCCGTCTCAGGGCAGTCGGGTGCCTTCAGAGCAAAATCGGTGGCTAAAGCAAAGAACAGGCGAGTTACTATATTTCATATCCACAGCCACTGATGCGAAACCGCCATCGTCAGAGGGGTAGGCAAACTGCTCTTCTCTCCTGCAGATTGCTGAAGTACATTCAGTAGCACTATCTGGGCCCCAATTTTAGATCCAACACCCAAACTCAGGCTCACAACCAATCCTGAAATGAAGTACAGATGGGCTACTATGTCCAGTTCAAGAGATAAAAGTTAGTTATTCTTTTCACACCTAGTGACAGATGCAGCTATTTTAAAGAGTTTGTCATCGCCAAAAGAGCAGCAAGCCAAAAAATTCCCCCTTAGAGTAAACCAAGTTCTGGTACATAGCAAGCTAATACTGTTGGTCCAAAATTAAAACTTATAAAAGTCAGCTTTAAGAGGAATTCAGATGGATATTTCTGCAGTCTGACTTCAACAGAGGGGAAAAAACCCTATAACACCCCATCTCCTCAAAATGACTACTGAGGAAGTGTGACAGTCCAATCAGATACTGGCATCTCATGTACCTATGTATTTGTTTTCTTCTGGAAGGTGCAAATCCTCATTTAACTCGAAGTCACTAGCCCATAGATCACTCCAGTATTTGTCAACATCTGTGAAAAACATGAATTTAGTCAATTATCGGGAGACAGGCTTAGCAAATCAGCAGCTCCTGCACTGACTCCTAGAAAAATTCTCTCCTCCTTTAGACAAGTCTGTCTTTGTGCCTATCTGCAGAATGATGGGAGCTTCTCTTCTGATGCGGTGTGGCGCTCCTTACCACCCTTCTGTACATCCCATTTTAGGACTCCCTCCACCCAGACTTAGAAAAAAGGAGTCATATTTAAAAGCAACTTTAGGGTGTGCACTTCAGCACTGCAAATTACCACAACTTGCCCTTGCCTCCACTGCCTATATTTTCATCCCTATTCAATACTTATTTGGAGTGGGAAGAAAGGGAGGCTTTGTGATCCCCCTTCTAACACCCCCAATGCTCCAAAAATATTTTAATAAAAGGATCTTTCAGAGGCAATGCTTCAAGGAGGAAAAAATAACTGTACAGTAGCATGAGGTACCCAGGTCTTTACTGCTCCATGCTCTGGGCAAGACAGCCACAGTCAAACGTTCACGTTCTCACTCCTGCAGGCTGCACACTGCACTGGCACATTTTTAACAGCCTTGAGGGCTTTAAATAACCTCTGACCCCTTCTAGGAAGGTCACTTTACCTTCCACATTGTATTGTGTGCCAAACCATTTCTCCTTTAAATGACACTGTCCTTCATTGGCAGCAGACAACAGAACAAGGTTGGTTCTCTGTGGGTACAGCTGGTTAAGGGCATCAGCAATGATCTACAAAGAAAAAAGGCAATGCACCTCAGTTCTAATGTAAAACTTTCCCTGCACCTGCCAAAGTCTTAAGCTTATTCTAAAAAAGTACAGGATACTCAAAGGATTCTTTTAAAACCAAGCTATTTGCTTTTGGATTCTAAAATTATTGGAAGCTACCCAAATAACCTATAAAACCTGTGCAATACAGTGCAGTTTTCTGAATTTCCCCATCTCAGATGCATTCAAAGCTAGATGCACCCCAGGGAAATACGCAATGATGTGCTTGAGCAATTTTGCGCATAAAAATGTCTGACCCTACATAACTACATAATTTTGTATAATTTAACCTGGGCGGGCTCTATGCCTCCACCTCCACAGGGCTCCTGGCTCTCCAGCTGGGAGCCCCATGTGGAGGCACCTAGCACAGTGGTGCATGACTGGACAGCTGGTGAGTGGGGAGGGGAGTTCCTGCCTGCAGGAGGGGGGTCTGTGGGTAGGCATGGGGGTGTGTGGGGGGTTTGGGCCCCTCTGCCACAAGTCCACTCCCCATCATGGTGGGCAGCGACAGCACCACAGCAGCAGCAAGTCCTCATGGCCACAGCAGGCAGAGCCCCCCGTGGTGCGCAGCTCCAGCTAAGTCCTGGTGGCTGCGCATGGTGGCATGGAGCCCATCAGGCCCAGCTCTCTGGCACGGGCCCACAGGCCAGACTAGGCTGACTCTGTGCCAGCACATGGGGCTCACCGCACTGCAGGCAGGAGCTACGCACCATCGGGCTGGGCTGGGCCAGCTCCGTGCCTCCATGTGGAGCTTCCAGCACTCCAGTGAGAAGCCCCATGTGGAGGAACCAAACCTGCCCGGGACGATGGTACATGGCTCCCATCTGCAGTGCTGCAAGCCCCATGTGCTGGTACGGAGCCAGCCTGGTTTGGTGTGAAGGTACACTCCAGTGGACCAGGCTGAGCAGGCTCTGTGCCATCGCGTGCAGCCCCCAGGACTCAGCTGAAGCCACATGTTGCCAGGGGGCTCTGCCTGCTGCGGCCACGAGCACCCTGAGATCCACTACCTGCTGCTGCCACCGCCACCAGCAGTGGCAGGAGCTGTACACCATGGGGAGGATGGGGGACATGCACCTGTGGCTGGGGGGGCCCCCAACACCACCCACAAATCCCACACCCACCCAGACAGGGTTTTTGGCACAGTTATTAAGGATGCAAGATGAAAAGTAAAAAAAAATAAAAGCAATTAATTTAGCATAATTTACAATTTTTCTGCACATAATTCCCTGGGGTGTAGCTAGAAGGCAACTCACTTCAGGCTTGTATTCAAACAGAAGCTGGTCTCCTGTCAGGAAGTCCTCCTTCTGAAACAACTGCATATTTTCACAAAGGCTTTCCACATAATCAACAGGATCAGTCTGCAAATAAGGAAAATTGTTTCACACATCATGTAACTAACACAATGTTTTTTTGCAGAGCAGAGCTTGTCTGCTGTATTTGCTGAGCTTTACTTTTGGTCACTGAACCTAAAGGTGAGTCCAAAACTGCTCCTTCCTCATTAAGCTTCTCCACAGCACTGAAATGTTACAAGGATCATCATTTTTTTTGTTTAAAAAAAGGATCCTCTAACTTTCCCAGAAGCTAAAAAGGAGGACCCATTAACCCCTGATACTTGGCTCTTTGGCTATCAGACTGGGGAATCAGTGTCTAGAGAGGGGTGGTTTTCTGCTGTGCTGGTGGTATGACTGCAGCTAAATTCTGAACAGCTGGGATATAAGATTTGAAGGTCTTTCTTTCCCTTGTGTGTCATTTTCTTTCTGTATCTTATTGATCCTCCCCTATATTTCTCCTTCTGTTTTCTGTATAGGAATCTTAGCCAGCCAATTAAATTCTGCTATGCACACAACTTTTACATTTCACATGCTTAAAAAAATCTTTTATTAAGCATACAAAAGAAAAACAGTGCAGTGGTTGCAGTTACAATGAAGTAACCCAATCAGCAACTCGAAGTTCAAAGGTTTAACTGTGCAACCTTGTGATCGTGAACAAGAGTTTTGTTAACATTTCATCTCTTGTTGAACAAGGTCATCCCTAACTCTCAAGATTACTCTTCTGCAAACTCCCCAAAGCACAACAGTGCAAAGAAAGATCTGCTCTGCAGGTGACATAATGCATGTACGCCTAAAGAAACACTCTTCTTCTTCATATATACACCGCAATTAATGGACAAAACCTTTATAGAAAAATAAGACAAGGTTTCTGCACCAAAGACTTAATCGCTCTAAACAGGGAGGCAGGGGGCATGATATTTTGCTTTTGTTAAAGGACATGTTCACAAGTCTAACATTATCCTATCTGTGATGTTAATTTTTCAGCTTAACCTTCTTATTTTGCCTTATCTCATCTATGTTTTCAAGGTCACATGTTATCAGGGCCATGTAAATTCCTAAGCTAAGTTATGTAGCAAAAACTCCAGCAGCAATCTAAAAATTTAAGACTTTATCTTCATCAGATACTTTATAGACATGTACCTGTTCTTGATAATGAAATTCGTTAGCTTCAATCTTCTGTATCTCTTCCCAAATTCTGTAAAAGAAGAGTTTTTCCCATCACCTTGATACCTTTAACAAGTGACCAAGAAACACCATGTCTAGGTAAGACATCACAAAATGGAAATTAATTTAGTCAGTTTCTCACAATAATTATACATCTATAAGATCTGGAATCTGGTGAAAGTGCAGTAGAAGTACACATATAAATCCTTTTTTAACTGGAAATCTCAAAGCATTTTAATACTGTCAGTCAGCTATCATTACTGCTACAAGTTCTTATCTCTTTTCATACAGAGATGGAGATATTAAAGCATAGAACAGTCAAGATTAGACAGCAAAACCAGTTAAAAAGCTAAGAGTAGCACACACGGAATTCCTGGCTTCTTGTCACCTGCCTTGACCACCATGCACTTCATTGCAAAATGCTTAAGGCTCAGGGTTTGGGATGGAGAGAACTCTTCAACAACTCCTAAAGCAGAGAATTTTCCATTTTCCATCTGTCATTGTGGACACAGCTACATGCAGATTGATAAGTATTAGTATATATCAATTTAGTTAAACCAGAGCAAAAGGCTGTTATTTCACATTAAATGGGTTTAAGTCAATTAGGAACGACTTTACATCGAACCAAACTAAAAAGTCCACGTAAACAGGGGTTAGCACAATTTTAACTGCGCAAGTTTAAACAACAATTGAAGTTAAACCGGGACAAATTTCCCACATCAACAAGGATTACACTGCAGTCACTCACCTGGATATAATCTCAGCTAAAAGAGCTGTTCCCTGACTATTCACCCTTTCAATTTTGCTACAGCAGGGCTGGCAAGACTTAGTGACATTTCACTGCTGTTCATCACACTGCCTTTTTATGGTGACCTACAACTCCTCCCTTTCCTTTTAACGATGATATTTTCCACCAGTGTCACACTGTGTTCACTTTTCTGATATGTACATACTAGAGGAGATAACACACACCTCTAGCAAATAGGGGAAAGCTCAGAAATTTCTGGTGCAACAATGCAGACCACTGGGTCTCATCCACGTACCTCTTATCTGGCCCTCTTTTCTGTAACATCTTCAGGTACTGAAATACAACATGTGCAACCTGAGGGCAGAAAGACAAAACTGATGAACTACTTTGATACTTGGAAATAACAGACTGATATGAAGTCCAAGCTGCAGTGAAACTTACCTCATAAAAGTGCTTGTAGCCTTCATCAGTCAAAGTAACAGAAATGCTGAACACAGAGTAGGTGGAATTCTGTTCAAATCCTGTCTCACCATTTCCTCCATATAATGCAAGAGCCCAAAACCTATTGTAGAGTTAAACCAACTATTTAACATTCGGTTAAAAACTTTTCTGAAGTTTAAGCAGCATGACTGTATCATTGCTCTAGCTTATTTCTGACCAGCTTAACAGCAAGCCCTTTCAAAGTGAACCTGAAACAACCTGTAACCAGGTGTCTTTTCACCAATTCATAAAGCACAGGTTTAAGCTCTCTGAAATTCAAAATAAGAAACAGACAGGACATTCAAGCACCGTAACTCAACTTCATGATAAGTATTTGGTATGAACCAAAAAAAAAAAAAAAAAAAATCAATGATGCTGAAACAAACAATAACTGCCAGTCACCTGCTGGTACTGATTATGTGCTTCTGGCTTTTTTTTTTTTTTTGGCACAGTATCGGAAAACATTGCAGGGCAGGGAATTGCTCTGAATTCAGGCCTCTGCAGATAAGAGAACCTGATTTTTAATTGTTTAAAATACAAGTTGCAATTTAAGTATGCAGTGCCTATTCTCAAACATTTGAGATATTAAAAAAATATTTCAGCAAATTAAATTTCAGAATTAACTTTGCCAGACGAATTCCCTCCTCTGACAAGAATTGCTTGTGAAGCCTTCAAGTTTTCAGCTATAGGACACACAGCGCTGGTTTTCGATTCTGGAGATACAAACAGTCCAAGCACAGGAGTATCTGGCACTATGGAGAAATAAGGGTAAGCTCCAAGAGCATCTTCAGTATCTTGGCTCCTACAAACTTTAAGCAGCATCATTGTAGAGCTTTGTCACTAAACCTTACTAGATCAGAGAACTATTTGCCTATCACTACTTTACAATAAAAGCAATATTTAGAGTATTCTTGAAGAAAAATACGTACTTTTTCCTAAGAAAGGAAAGAACACTGCCTTTGCCTTCATGACCTACCAGCCATGAAATGTAATGAAGTGGCTTCACCCTATAAAGAAAAAAATAAAGTTAAAATGCCAAGAGATAAAAGCATCTTTCATACAGAAAACCCAAATCACTACAAAAATAAACTTAATTATATTCCATCTGGACCTATGTTACCTTTAAACAGCAACATCAAGAAGATTAAATCTAACTGACTATACAAGGGAATTTAGGTTTACAGAATGCAGCGAGCCAATCATACATACAGGCTGGGGAGTTCCCCCCCTTGAAAGCACAGAGGCGGAAAGGGATCTTGGAGTCATTATTGACTCCAAGATGAACATGAGCTGCCAATGCCAGACCGCAGCCAGCAAGGCCAGCCATACCTTGTCATGCACTCAAAGGTGCATCTCAAGCCGGTCCAGAGAGGTGATCCTCCCCCTCTATGCGACACTGGTCAGGCCGCAGTTGGAGCACTGCATCCAGTTCTGGGCACCACACTTCAAAAGGGATGTGGCCAGCCTGGAGAGGGTCCAGAGGAGGGCCACCCGCTTGGTGAGAGGGCAGCAGGACAGGCCCTACGAGGAGAGACTGAGGGACCTGAACCTGTTCAGCCTCAGCAAGAGGAGGCTGAGGGGGGACCTGGTGGCTGCCTACAAGCTTATCAGGGGGGATCAACAGCAACAAGGCAGAGCCCTTTTCTCCCCAGCACCACCTGCGGTGATGAGGAACAACGGTAATAAGCTGACGGAGAATAGGTTTAGGTTAGAGATCAGAAGGCAATAGTTTACAGTTAGGGTGGCCAAAATCTGGAACCAACTTCCCAGGGAAGTGGTCCTCGCCCCTACCTTGGACAAATTCAAGAGGAGGTTGGACGATCACCTGTCTGGGGTCTTGTGAACCCAGCATTCATTCCTGCCTGTGGCAGGGAGTCAGGCTAGATGATCTGTTCAGGTCCCTCCTGACCCTAGCTACTATGATACTATGAAATCAAAAACTAGACACGGATGTTAACAACCTTTGCATTGGTTCTTCCCCAGCTTCTCAGTTAAATCAATATAAAACAGAGTTAACAAATGTGACCTCATTTACAGAGAGGTTTGCATCACCTTGCTATATACACACTTTGAGTTAAAATAGTCTGAACTGTAATATAAATCATTTTGAAAGAGCCCAAGCTATTAGCAAGATTTATAGACATTCACTAAAGCCACAAGCGTGCCATCAGTAAGATGCAACATCACGTTACCTGTAATGCTGTTCCTGAGGGGGAAGTGCCCAGGTGATGCTCAGTGAATGAATTTTTCTGATCGGAACAACTGTACAGGAAAAAAAAAGTACTAACTGTAAATGCAAAGGTGTTAGAGAGAAGTAGGAGCAGCAACCTGCAATGGGCAAGAGATTTATTAAATGAAAAACACAACACTGGGGAAGTTATACAAAACTACTTATAGCAGAAGCTCAACAATGGTAAGTCAATCTTCTTAAAATTTCAAAGCAACAAAAATTCCGCACTGTGGTATATTCATTCAATACTTAAAAAGAGGAACATAGTTCACTCACCTCTGTAAAGCTTGTGAAATTCTGGTGTGTCAAATGGTTGCGTCAGATGGCCAAAGTTGGGTTTGGAAAAACCACTAGTAAAACATAACAAAAATCACAGCACAATTACCACTCACAATCCAGGAGGACGAGAACAAGCCCCATCATTGTTAAGTGATGGAAACCTTAAAACTTCACACAACAGGATGCAACTCTTACCAGGGGCATATTCCAAATGCCACCGCATCCTGATTAAAAGTCAACGCAGTGTTCACTAGTCCCCAACGACCCCCAAATGTCCTTTCCTATTCCCCAAGTTACTGGGACATCATCTACTCCTCATTTTATCCACAGCACCAAACATCGCAAAAACTAGCACAACACCGGAGACTAAGGCAGGCCCCAACTATGTGGGCAGGGGCTGCTGAGAAATGGAGTCACTACAGTCACAGTCTTGCTGCTGGAGGTGAGGCCAAAGAGCTTTATAACCTTGACCTGGTCCTGCTGTCACAGAAAGGTAACAACTGAACAGTCTGGCTGATTTCTACCCACAGAAATAGTGAAATAACTGTGCTGGACCTGGAACCGTGTGATGTATGCCAAGCTGCAGAATTCACCAAAAGTGGGTTGCTTTATCAAGGGTGAAATGAAACACATTGTACTTGTCTTCAAAAATACAGTTTGATATTTGAGTGGAAGCCACTGCGATGCCACGAGGAGGGCCATACAGAAGTAATCTTTGCACTTCAGCAATACTGAGGCCAACAATATCTGCATTTTAGGGTCTGGTGATTCTGATGTTCTGGACTGTCACTAAATCAGGGGTGGGCAAAATGGTGGATCTGGCTGGCAGCCGGACACCATTTTCCAGCAGCCCCTGATCGCGTGGCTGGGGCCAGTCTCCATGAAGACCCCAGCAGCAGCTGCACAGTGATAGCACAAGACTGGGGTTGCCATGGAGACCAGCCCCAGCCACGCTGTCAGGGCATGCATGGCAGGGCAGGGATCTTGTGGCAGGGCCAGCCTGGTCTGGGGCCAAGGCAGAGCTACGATCTGCAGCCTGCATGCTCAGGGCAGGAGTGCACAGGCTCTGCCCCTGCTCCAGACCAGGCTGGCACCGCTGTAAGGAGTCAGGGCAGAGCTGCAATCTGCTGCCTGCGTGCCCCTGCCCGAAGCGTGCAGGCTGAAGATCGTGGCTCTGCCCTGGCCCCAGATGGACTAAGGTGCCCCTGCCGCATTCTCCCAGGGCTCCAGAGCAGCCCCCTGCCCTGCCACAACAGCTGGGGCCAGTCTCCATGGCAACCCCAGCCTCGCACTATGACAAGGCAGCTGCAGCCTCCATGGAGACCAGCCCCAGCTATGTGGGCAGGGGCTGCTGGGAAATGGAGTCCACTGCCAGCTGGATCCAGCCTATGGGCTGCACTTTGCCCCTGCACTAAATCCACATTACCACCTGCATTCTGACAGCAAGCAGACAGCGCAACTTCACAAAGAAGTTTCCCTGTCTGTGACCAACTTCAGCTGTATACAGGCACTGTCCCTGATGGGTGGGATCAGCTGTGCTGAGATTTGTCCCAGCACAGCTGATCTGCTTCGCTGGACAACAGAGACATCGCCTGCTGTCCTGCAAGGTCAGACCCCTGCCACTTCTGGCTCTTCAGGAACCCAATCCTGTGGGACAGCTACAAAAGGGGAAACCCTAGCTTCCCTCATTTGCAGGGGTGTGCCCCAGGAATCTCCCAGTAAGGGATTCTGCAGGTGCCCGCATTGTGTTCTGAGCCCCAGTTCAGGGTGCTCCTCTGCAAATGGATACCTCTCCTCCATTTGCACAGGTGGACTCCGAGTCAGGGTGTAGCAGTTCAATATATACGCTCAGGGAATCCTATGCTGAGGGAGTCCTGGGGTATGCCTCTACAAGATACCATGGCTGTAGGGACCCAATCCTGTGCACCCCAAAAATTCCCCTGAAGGGAGCCCCTGCCAAAGGCAACCGGACAGCACAGATAGCTCTAGCCTTAAGGCAAACAGATGTCCATCACAAAAAAACAGCCCAGATGTTTACCGCCTACTGTTCAGGCCACCATTCTGGACATTTGTGGTATGACAAGGGGCATGAATGTCTCTTTGCAACCTTTTACTTCCAGCAAAGTTAAACACTTGAGCCCAAATATGAGTAAGAGCACACTGAGAAAAGAGGAAACTCACATTTCAGTAGTTATCTATAAGCTATGTTAAGTGTAAGCAGCAAGAACTCATGTAAACCATTGCTACAATGCTTAATTCCTCCTCCCCCACTGCCCCTTCAATACCCAGCAGGTAAAAAGAGTATCTTCATTCTACTGCCCCTCTCCCTCCAATAGACAAGTCAACATCACATCCTATAACTGATACATTATCAGTCCTTAGCCTATTACTACTGACAATTTTTTTTTTTAAACACAGCATAAATCAGTTAGTCAGCAATCTATAAAACTTAACAAAACGTTTAAGGGGAGAGGGGGTTCTCAAGAAAATCTTCAGCCACAACAGGTCAATTCTGTCTAAAATCTGCTTTTTAAAGGGCCACTCTTGATGAGTTCAGCCATATTAAAGGTAACAAATTTTGGACAATGTCAATTTTAGCCAGCAAGCACAATGTAGTGACTCTGGGTTGCCTCAGTCTGAAAAACCACAGTCACTGGAAAATGACAGCGTCTATCTAACACACACCACTGCCACACCTGCATTTTGGTAATGATTCCTGACATTAAGTAAGTATACAAGGTTTACAATCTTTCTAAAACAGATTATAATTCTTCATCCAATCACATCAAGCAACAAGGTGCAGCAAATGCCAATCAAGGCTGACACTTCACAGCAGTTTAAAGGCTAAATTCTTCCTAGGCAATGAGAAAGTTTGTATTTTGTTTAATGCCAACCTTTAACCTTCAAAGTCAAATGTTATCCTCAGCCAGGGAAGAAAATTTCATCAACACAGGTAGCAATACATTCAAGGAAGTCAACACTTCTGAATGCTGCATAAATGGAATTTCGTAAGTCTGCAGTGTCATTTTACAACTTCACAGAATTATAGAAATTAAGGTTGGAACGGACCACAGCAGGTCATGTAGTCCAACCCCCTGCTCAAGGCAGGACCATCCCCAGCTAGATCAACCCAGCCAAACTTCTAATCAGGTAATCAGAAAATCTTACTTATTTGGGATCTCCGAGAAGATTTCTGTCACCCATTTTTCCAAAGTATCTAGAGTTTCTGTAAGGGAAGAAGAAATATAAACCTAACTATGGATCAGGTCTTGATCTTCATATGCTTCCTATAATCTCAGGCCAGACAGGACTGGGATTAAAAGTAATGGTATCTGGGCTACACATAAATGATAAAACATCAACAGCTTTGGAATCTGCAAAATCCATAGGATGCGTTAGACAATCCTAAGCACTATACTTATACAGAAATGTGTGATGCAAGCCAATGTAGTCATGCCTTGGGTAACATAGTACTGTGTGTCAAGTGAGGAGCATTATTTCCCCTTTCTTCCTTATAGAAAAAGGAACATACTATTAAAAGTTAACAGCTCACAAAAATAATGGATCGGAGAAAGCCTGGCTAGCTACTGGTCCTCCCACCAATGCTTTAAGTGCTCTGGCTGAACTGATGCTAAAGATAGATCAATCAGGAAGCCATTTTATAGTGCCTCACATCCCACAAGAAATCAGCAGTACAGGGTCATTTCACCAATGAAATGCTGTCATTTCCCAACATTCTTACATGCTAAGTATAAGCCAATCAAAAATCCCAAGGCTAAATCCATTCAATCTTTTCAAGTTGATCTAAGCTATGTAAACTGAACCGGTAAGCAAGTGAACAGACATTCACTTTTGATTCCAGAAATGCAACCACATGCCTGCAGTGGCCCAGGCCAAAAACCAGGGGCTGCTAGAGCATACCTCCCTGCTCTGCTGGAGCAGACAGCTTGGGCCAAGGCTAGCCCACCCACCCTGCGAGGTGGGGTTTGCGGGGGAGGTGCAACATATCCCAGGGATGCTGGAGGGACTGTGAGTTAACTTGAATCTGGAGGGGATCTGGGACAAAAGTTCAATAAACCAAGTTAACCTAAATCAGTTGAGTCCAATACTACATCCATCCATGTTTATTTTAAACTGGTTTTGGTCCTTTTGAAAACAGTTTATGTGCACTGAATTTCTGTTGTGTTACAGATTTGAACCAGTTTCTGATCATGTATAATGGTTTGTGTGTAATTTCTGTCCCTAGTCGCAAATAAAAACCCCAAAACCACAGAACCCCTAGCATCCATACAGAAGTAGAGCCTCCATATTAATATTTCACTGGAGAGAAAAAAATTTGGAAACATACAGGCCCTAAGGAGAGGTGAAACAATCAGACCAAGTTTCAACATTTTCATCCCTGAGAGCATTAATATTTCCACACCTGATATTTTCACAACTGATGTTACCTTTGGACTGGACAACCAAAGTCATGTAGTGAGCAGAGTAATAGTGCTGCCAGAACTCCCTCAGCCTGGTATAGGTATCAATATTATTCATTTTGGGCTTATGTTTGAGAGTTTCTGCATTACCTGTAAACATTTAAAAAAAAATGTTTAGGAATCTGAATTTGCTTATTCCAGAGCCTCATACACCTAGTTTTTTTTAACATGGGGCCCAGTGTAAGATTCCTTGTGCACCCAAACTCCCAGTTAAACTAATAAGAGTTCTATATATACAAGAGATGCAGATCAGGTTGAGTGTTTTAATGCCATGGAAATAGAAGAAATGTTAAGAACGTACAACCAAGGGGTATGAACAAACATACTTTGTAGTGGCTTCAAAAGGAGAGGAGGGAGCTGCTGCTAAGACTGTACAGCAACTGTTATGCAGTAATTAGTATCTGTGCATGAGCCTGTAGTGCTTCAAGTGTAGCAAAACCACTCCCTCTAAACCTGCCTTTTCCAGGGTCACAGCTGGGACCGTTTGCTTAGGCTCAAACGGCCTAACATTCTCGGCAGCATTCCCTGCCCTTCTGAAACCACTATAAATACAGGATTGTCCATACCCAAGAAATCTTAGCATATCAAAGCCTTTGGGAAATTTAGGGTTAAGGGAACACAGACTCTGAAATGATACTTCTTTCTACTTTCTTACTGTTTATACAACACTTGAGAGCTTTATGAAAGGTTTGAAGAAAAAGCAATTTGGGCATTTTTCACATCTACACTGTGTACTGGAGAACGCTTTGCGTAGAACCGGTTTTGTTTCTCCTGCTCACAATGACTTTCATAATAGGGAAGAGAAAAGCACTTGGAGAACAATAATAAAACCTACAATTCTAAGATGACCTGATCTACAACCTGCCCTGCCTTATAGTTTATGCAGAGCAGCACAAAAGGGGCTTGCTGAAAATGGACTCTAAAAGGAACTGGACCATCTGGGAGGGGAGTGAATTCTCCCTCCGCCCATCCCACTCACAAGGGTGTGGAATGACAGTGAAGCCATTCCTCAGCTGCCTCTACAGATGCAAGGAAGATCACATGGCTTTTAAAAACTCTCCTAGAAACCATCCACAAATAAATTTTTTGCATGTCCAAAATGCAAACTTCATTTTTCAAGGACTCTGAATGAAAAAAAAAAAAAAAAGTAAACAAAACACAGGTGCCTTCAAGAACAATCATGTGTTACCACAAATCGCAGCAATTTGATTTTTAACATGAAATGGGAGCTGAGCTAGAGTGAACAGCATCTTAAGTAGATGCAGCACTTTTTGTCCCAAAGTGTACTCAAAATAGTAGCACAAAGAGCTCAGAGCTAATTTAACTAATTTCAGCCAGAATTTGGGGCAATACCACAAACTGCCATCATTAAGACATTTTACGACCTCTTCCTGTACCACATATATTTATTTAACCTTTTAGCAAGGGAGAGCTTACCCCAAAAGAATTTCTTCATAGGATGCCCAGGTCTGGCAAGGCTTCCAAATAACATCTCTTTTCTGTTTGAATCAGAGGGCCTTGCTAGCTGATACTCTGTTCATTTAAATAATAAACACTGTATTAAACATCAGGATGCAAGGTAATATTCTAATGAAACAAATATCAGCATTCAAGAGGAGACACAAAGTACATGGAACAGCTCTGGACAGGCTCTTTTAAAAGATGCACGAAAAAGCAGCAAATAGTAAAACCATATCACTGTCACTAAAGCTCAAAATAAGAAAAGAAAGACCCACTTGGTTATCAAGAAAAGCAGAAGAGAAGATAAAGGGGAGAGAGGGGAAGCGGCATTTAGTACCCAATTCTGTGATATCTTTAGTGCCCTCATCCCCCACAGAGCTTAGTGGCAATGAAGGGCCATCACCATCTTTCATAAATCAGGACACTAAGGAAAAATGACTACAGATTGTGTTAAATATAACTTATTTCTTGCAGTATATAAAAGTTTCTCTCTCAGCTACCCTGGAGCTCCAGTAGGGTTATGAATGGAGAACAGAAGAAATTCTTGAATTGTCTTTATTAACATTTTTTAAACTCAAAACCCCCAAGAAACGCTGAAAAAAGCAGTGCTTTGAAAGTTCCAACTGCCCCACTTCACCTTTCTTTTCAGTGAAAGAGATGAAAAAGCTTGGGTTCATTACTAGATTCAAATGTAAAGGTTGTTCTTTCTTAACGTGCCTTTACAAGTGTATGTACCCCTTTCAGACTTTCATTCTATGCCTCAGTATCAAGTGAAGGCATCAGACATTTTTGCTTCTTTAAAGAACATTGTTAAGGCTCTATTTCACTCTATACAACTGGTTTGTCTTGGACAACTGAATTAGCAAAACACTTCAGAAGTGTTTTTCTGGACTAGGCTTACTGCCATATTGATAGAAACTCAAACAACTGCGTCCTATTAGAGAACAGTTTGGACTTCATTACAATCATGTGGAAAATCACAAATGAAATTAATTAGCTATGCTTAGGGAAAACAGCATCTACCTAAACTCAGCACTCAGGGGTTTGGCAATTTTGTTACGCACAGCTCCAAACACTTATTTTGAAGAATTATGATGAAAGCACATGCAGTTAAAAGACAATTATTCTTACCACTGTCCACAGCCTCAACTTCCCGGTCAATCGCATCTCTGATCATTAATGGGTGAATGAAGAACTGTGCCCACCTAAGAAAGAAATACCAGAAAATTTCATTTTTCCCCTATTTATATATTAGCAGGCTATTTTCTATAACAAAACATATAGAAACAAACCACAGAAAAGCACATGGGCATTGATATTGTGTGTCACCTAAGATCAGATTTTTGCAATGATTCAGGAAAAAAATTAATAATTCTAGACTTTATCATCACTAGTTCTTTAAGCTTTTATAGGAAAATAATGCATATTCTTTCATCTTCTCAGCAACAAAGGCAATGCCTCTGCTCTTTGAAGTGGATTGACGGGGGGCAGCCCCAAGATGCAGGATTTTTTTTAACCTGCCTTAATATCCTAAGAATGATTCTACAAGACCAAACAAGGGATCTATCTAGTCTGGTGCCTATCTCCAGCAGTAGCTGGATGCTTCAAAGAAAAATGCAAGAATCCTTAACTCTTCATACTGGGGAAACAAAATGAGCATAGGGAAAGTTTACTCCTAACTCCAGGCAACAAATTGTTAAAACATGCCCTAAAAACATAAGCAGGAGTTAAAACGTAAACTCATTAACGTTTTATTACCTGTATCTATGAATATTGCTAGCCAACAAATCTCTGCTCCCCTACAGAGAGAGATGGATAATGGGCAGGCAAGGTAACAACATATGGATGAGTATCGGATTTTTAAAAATTACCTTTAACACATCCCCTTTCCCCTCTACGCGGCACCGGTCAGACCACAGTTGAAGTACTGTGTCCAGTTTTGGGCACTATACTTTAAGAAGGATGTGGATAACCTTGAGAGGGTCCAGAGGAGGGCCACTCATACAGTTACGGGTTTGCAGGCCAAGCCCTGAAAGGAGAGACTGAGGGACCTGGAGCTCTTCAGCCTCCGCAAGAGAAGGCTGAGGAGGTGATCTTGTGGCTGCCTACAAATTCATTACGGGGGGCAGCAAGGGATCAGAGATGCTCTGTTCACCAGGGCGCCTCTTGGGGTAACAAGGAACAACAGTCACAAACTGACAGAGAGCAGATTGAGGCTGGATATCAGGAAGAACTTCTTCACAGTGAGGGTGGCCAGAATTTGGAATGGGCTTCCAAGGGAGGTGGTGCCCTCCCCTCCCTTGGGGATCTTTAAGAGAAGGCTGGATAGGCATCTGGCTGGGGTCATGTGACCCCAGCGCTCTTTCCTGCCCAGGGCAGGGGGTGGGACTTGATGATCTGTTGAGGTCCCTTCCAACCCTAGCATCTATGAATCTATATATCAAAAGCTAGCAGGAGCACCTGTCTACTCTCTCTGTACATTTCATCATTCTATCGGGTTCTTCTTTCCTCTCCACTAAGTAGTTTGTTCTTTGCAATCTCTCCTCATGCGAAAATTCTTAATATTTGAGTTGCTTCTCTTTAGGCCCCTTCAAAACATCCAAAAGCCGGGCGGATATCCATCCTTAAAAAGCTAAATCTTGTGCTGTTATGTATGCTTTAGGCTCTATGAAACCAGCAATCCTAAGGGGTGCACATTCTAGGGCAGAAATCAGCTTAAGCACCATTTTAGTGGCTTTGAGAAAAATGCTTATTTGCAGGGTACTCCTAGGAGGCTTCTGGGTATCAGAACTATTTCACTTTCACTTCTTACCAGGGACTTTTCCCCTTGTGCAGGAAAACAACGTTTTCACACATCCCATGTCATTCAATGAGCAATCTGAATAATATTTCTTGTCACAGAATACATCATTTATTGAATAAACTGGAGCATGTAAACTCCATTTTTTGATGTTCTACATGATAGCATAAGAGTCCAGGCTTCCACCTCCTCCCATGGGATAAAAAAAAAAAAGGTAAGTTTATACAGGAACATATTTAAAAAATACAAGTCACTGAACAATTCTAGGTAAGCTTCTTCTCTCCATAGTTAACAAAAGGAAAGAATCAAACACAAAAATATGAAGAACCATAGAATCCAAATTTTCTAGATTAAAAGAAGTGAGGTCTACCCTCTTCTCACAGGAGGTATGTATATTAAAAATACCTACAGTATTGTGGGAAACAGACGCTACCTCAAAAGGTTTCAAAATATTCAAAGCCAAGTCACGGACTCCTTGCACCCTAAGGATCCCCTGTTTCAGGAAAAGGATTTTAAAGAAGTGCAGCAACAGGAGGATCATTTCAATCAGGTCCAGATGAGGCAATGAAAAATTATACAGTCTTCTCTGACAGACAAAGACATCCATTAATCTATTTTAAACCAAACTATGTAGTTATTATTAGGTGTGATTAAGTTACCTGTCAAGAGCTTCTTTGAAGTATTTCCTTTGTACATCAAATTGAAAGACAGTCCTTTCACAGTCAGTGGAAGCATTGTCACTGCCCCCATGTTTCTTCAGAAATGCATCAAAGCCATTCTCATCTGGATACTTCAAACTGCCCATAAATACCACTGGAACAGAATCAGCCAAATTAGAGATATACACATTTGTAAATTACAACTACAAAAATGCACAGCTCTCGCTTAAAATGAGAAGTAATTAAATAGAGGTGACCTGCTCTTCCACTGCTTTGCACTTACCATTGCCATTTTCCTTTATGAAAAGTCAATTTACCGTGCAAATCAATCAGAATAAAAATATTTCAAGCCCAAATGGCACAGCTGTAAATAAGTACTCCAGGCAGGCTGTGGAGAAACATTTCTACAATAACTGCCCAGTCTAACACAAGCTGAAAGAACAAAAAGCTTCAGAAATGAGGAACACACTTGGTTTTAGTAGTCTTTAAAATCGGAGCTTGACTGAATCTAATACCAATAATCCTGTATATAAAGTGCATCGCTATGCCATTTGTGGGCTTATCAACCATTATATTATAGAGGAAGGCCAACTCCAGTACAGCAAGCTGAGAACTTGCTACTCTAAAAAAATAAAAAAAGTCACCATTTCTGCATGTGCAGCCTCTCAAGAGCAGAGGGACAGATAGAGAGGAATCTACATTTTGGATCATTCAAGCAAAGGGAGTAACACCCCCCCACCCCCACCCCCGCTGCCCTGCCCTATCTAAAAACGGAATAATTAAGTTCAGCAAATATTACCAACTTTTGTTAGGAATAAAGAGTGACCAAACCATGACTCTGATCATGATCCAAATTAAATGCTGGAGGCCGCAAGTGAGAAGAACAGTGGAAAAAACCCTGGTAATACCCAGTTCACTGTCCCTTTCAGCATCTACTGTGCCACTGAGAGACAGGATGCTGGGGGGGCAAGATGAAACTATGGTTTGACCCAAAAAATGGCAGCTCTCATGTTATGTTCTTAGGTCTCTGTTACTTCACATTTAATTCAGCTGGTTCATTGCACCCATTTGGGAAAGTAAAGTGGAAAATGCAATTTAAAAGAAAGAATTTAGCTTGGGAAAATGGCTCATGGCCTGCTAGGCATGTGCCTAATGCTCACATCATGAATGGCCAAAGTAGCTGAGAGGGTTTTAAGTCAGTCAGCATTCCTAAGAACCGGGTCACTCAAAGGGAAACGGACCAGACCTAGTCCCAGCCACTGTCAGTTCAAATCAAACCTTGGGCAAAACTTAGGCTGCAAGCTGCTACAATCTGCCCCTGTCAGAGGGGGTACTTCTTTTAATTTGTGAAATGTTACCCATGTACAGCAAAAAATTCAGGAGGGCATTTAAACAATTTCCATAAAAAATAATTACACATTCTTTGCTTGCTGGAAGGAAGGAACGAAGTATGGAAGAGATGCAGGAATGGGATTTAAAGGACAAGGAAGAAGGAATAGGGAGAGGAGTGAGGGGACATGGGAAAGGGGATGTAAAAGCAGATGACAGAGGGTGCCCAAGTCTCATATATATGTTCTTCATTAACCTTCAGTGCAATCACATTTGGAGCACAAATGGGCTCTTCTGCAAAAAAGACACTGGTCCTGGAAGCCAAATTCTGGTGTAGCGTAAGTGAAATTGCTTACACTAGTTCTGAATTTAGTTGTAGAGTTCTGAAATAGCTGCTTTGCATCCATAATCTTCCACTGTCCCAGTCACTGCTGTCCAACAAGGGAGTCAACTACTCAATCACTCTTAGATGCGACTAGTTCCTTCAGATCAACACAAGCATTTTAGTAGCAAGCTGTACAGTAACTTGCACTACTGCTCCATCCATGGGCTGTGTGTGTTGTGTACACACTAACTTATCTAAGCAAATGGTAGGAAAGTGTCAGACACTGACTAGCTGAAATGGAAAGAGCAGTTATACATTTTAAAAATGCTGCTGCTTCTTACCTAAACTAAAAATCATACCTTTTACAGAAGTAGAAAAGAGTGAAATATAAGCAGATACATACTGTGCTCCAGAAAGTGTGCTAATCCAGGCAGATCTTCAGGATCAGAGAAACTACCAACAGCAACACAAAGGGCAGCTGCAGACTAGAGAAAACACAACATCCACAGTGAGCTATTTCTCCAGGAAAAGCATCATCTGACCAGTAAGGGGATATTTCAAAGCTATCATACATTTACTCTATTCCCCACCTGGTACAGAAGAAGTGGACATACAGGCCACTGACAGATGTGAAGAAAAAAACCCCAAAACAAAACAAAACAGCCCTTCACTAGAAGAAGAAGTGCATCAGTTTGACCCAGCTCCACAGTGTCTGTATAGATCAGGTGCTTCAGCGGGGCTTTTTGGCACTTTTATCTAATAGCTGATAGAATCAGCTTTAGGTTAAAGTGACAAAAACCCCTGCTGAAGTGTGTGATCTATACAAATGTTGGGCAAGCTGAGTCCCACTAACACAGCGCCTCTTCTGGGCATGCACTGCGCTCAGTATGGGGGCATGCCGAGCTGAAACTAAAGCGGTTTATTGGTTGGTTTGGTTTTTTTTTTGTGTCTGTAAGCAGTCACAAGGGCTACATTATATTCCATTCTGAGGCAATCACTGGGCAGGCCTTGCATCTGAGAAACAGCACAGGCTCTCCTCTGGGTAAGAAAGATAGGGTCTCTGCATAACAGTGATAACGACCATAAAAGCTCTAACACAGATTAGGTAGGTGACACACAGGAACAGAGGACCAGGTCAGAAGCAGCTCCCAACCAAGAGCTACAGAGTTTGTAAACGAGCAGAAGTTCTCTATGTAACCATTTTTCTTTTTATAGCATTAATACATACCTGCTTTTCTGTACAGCCCCTCTTTCTTGTCTCTTCCTTTTCTGCTAGTTCTTCTAATTCACTGTCAGGATCATTGAGTTCCTCTCCATCATCATTTTCACCTTCTTCCTCTTCCTCCTCATCGTCACAGTCCTCATCATCATAATCCTCCTTGTCATCTTCAATTTCTGCCCCAGAGTCATCATCCTCATCACTTTCATCTTCTGATTCATCATCATCATCCTCTCCTTCTGAAGACAGTGCAGAAGGAGCACCGTCCATGTTATTTAAATCCGAAATCAATAGTGCACTTAATCCATTTTGCAATTTGATGTACCTAGGAGAACAATTGTGTGAATACTTGGACATCAGTTGCTTCCTAAAACCTCTGAATGGCCAGATTTGGGAGTTTCCAGATTTACCATAACTGTGTGGGGCTCCTCAACAGAAGTAATAGAGGACAACCATGAACTCTGGCATAATTTATATCTGTACCATACACCAATACAAGCTATACCAAAGTATCTAACAGACATGTGGCTTATCCTAGGACAGGGGTGTCAAATATGTGGCCGAAGGAGCAGTTCTATCTGGCATACCAGGCCTCCAGTAGAATTAAAAATTTTGGCCCCACTAGCCATGGCTGTTGGCCGTAAGCTTGGCTTGCCACTGCCCCCGGACCAGTCCCTTACACCCAGTGCCACCACCATACCCCTCCTGCCGTCAAACCACTTGCTAACTCTGGACCCACTGCCGCAACCAAACCCCTCGCTGCCCCCAGACTATTCTTGTGCCCCAGGCTGGATTCAGCCTGCAAGAAGCCCCAAGGTGAGCTTGACATCTCTATCTGAAGGGATGCTACCACAGCACCTCAACACCAGATGGCAGGAAAACATGTAATAATAACCTGTTTGCCTTGAGAGAACTGCAGACAATCTATATCAGTAAGAGTTTCCTGATAGGTTTCAGGGGTAACACTCTACCAGACCAGGTAAAGTCACTTGGTTTGAGGGTTTATATAATCCACATGGGACAATATTACACCAATATAATTCTGAAAGCACTGATGCAAGACCAGGCCCTGAAATCACCTGAACAAGATGAAGTTTCATACTAAAAGTAATCTTGAGTTTTTTTGGAAGAGGAATAGTCTCCCTGATATGTTTTTACAGCACCTATAACAATAGGGATCTTGTTGACAACCACAGCTCTTACATACTATGGGAATACAGGAAAAAAATTAGCCTACCCTTACATTTGTACCATTGACATGATGTGCCTTTGACTTCCGTAAGAAAGTCTCCCTGCACATTAATTCCTATAACATTAACTGCATTCAGCTGAGGATAAATGAGGCCCAACTCATTTATTGCAAAGCCTAGAAGGGAGGTGTAATATTATTAAACTTCACTGTGTTTTATTTTTAAGCGAATAAGCTCCTTTTATAAGCGAATCAACCAGACCTTTTTGAAAGGTTTATGAAACATGGACTTGTCAGGTGTCCAATCAAGTAAAGGCAGAGCACATTATTTGGCAAACTAAAAGTGGAACCAAACACGAGATGAGTTTGACGAGCACTTTGAGAAAAACGGAAGTAGCTAATAATATTAGTAGAAATCAGATTGATATTTTACTGCGAGATAGAGGAAAAAAACTGAGCTTTTACTTTGCACAACTGTATCTGAACTATTACATGCTGCACTGGGGGGTGGGGGCAGCAGGGCTTCACGAACAGAAGGTTGGGTTACCTTCCTTAGAAAAATACATCCAGAAAGAAATTGTTTCTATGCAGGCAGACCCATGCACCAGAGTCCCTCTAAAGAGGGATCTAACACCCTTCCAGGTATATTAGGGTTTTCCAAGGGTCTGGCTCACCTGTATTAGGAATGAGGCCCTAACCATCCCTTTTTAGCAGCTCTTCCACAATCTAAGTCATTGTTTTCCTCTAGCATGTCTTATTTAAACAGTATCCACAGATATACAGGGAAAGTGAGGTTGATCTGTGTAAAATATCACTTGTCCCACCACAACTTAAAACTGCCGCTGCCTCAATCTAAGTGAAATAATCATACTGGCCATCTTGCTATTCTAGAGATGACAAATCTGTAAACTGCTGCCATGACACATCTTCTCAGTACCTGTGCCCTGGACTAGGCATCTTAAATTATACACTGTGACCAAGGAGTTTGCTTCTATATCTTTCCCAGATGATTCTCATGTTCTTCTGCTCAGTAGCCATAAGCCTTTATTGTGATTTAACATATGAAAGATCAAAACTAAATCTCAAAAGCCCAATAAGTTGCCAACTACAATTATTGTCAGTCTGGAAAGGGATTCAGCCATACTTAGCACAGCCATGACAATGGTCCTATTTCTCAACAAATGGAGATGTCCATCCTTCATTCAGTTTAGTGGAGGCAGTCAGGAGATCACAGCAGCATGAGAGACGTTTTCCAATAGTCGCTTACAATAGTTTAGTCTGCTTGAAAATAATGTCACATATATACAAATTTGGACAGCTGTTTACAAGACTTTAACTATGCAACTGCTGACCCTACAGCATTTACTCAGAAAGCAAGCCCCATCAGCTTTGGGATGACTACAGTGCACCCCTATCTTCTTCGCTGCTGTAGAAAATTAGCTTCTTCAGCTTTTTCATGGTCCCACAATGTGCAGCCATCTGCTTCCGATTAATACACAGTTGTTCAAGATAAACCAACATAGTTTTCAACAGAATTGTGGAGCTGTGTTTAATAAAAGCCTGTTTAGCTACTGAAGCCTTTACATCTCCATTTTCTTGCTTCACTATAAATAAGTAACAAATGACACTTTTTTGTTACTCATGCCCTAACTCTCTCTAGGGACTGAAAAGATTATGTAATAAGGCAAGGAAACAGCTTCCGTTAGCAGGACAGCAGATAATTTAGGCATCTATTTCAAGGTGACTAGCTTTCAGTTAATGAGACTCCAGAACAGAGTTAAGTAATGCTGAGTAGAGAGGACAAGCGAGACTGGTGTCCTTTACTTTTTCCACGTTTTACTCTGATGGAAAGGGACAGAAGTGTAATCAATACATGACTGAACACTAATTAGTATGCAGAGCATTGAGTAAAGCCAATCACTGAACCCAAAATAAAGAGCAAGGATAGCACACATTGGTTGCTTTTTAGAAGGGTTAGTTTTTCGGTTTTTGTTAGTGTCCACACAGAAAACAGATTAATAAATGAAAGTAAAGTTCTTGTTTTAAACAGGAACTATAGTCCTCCCCGTGATGTTTAAACTGGAAGCTGTGCTCTCATGACAAGGTGTTTCCTCAGGTCAGCCATCCAGAAGCCAGCAGGCTAGAGCTGTTCCGTGCAGAAAACTAAAATTCCAGCGCCGATACAGGTTTCAGACACTTGATGTCTTGTCTGCTATTGCATTTCTTGGTAACAAAACAAAACATCCAAGTTCAAAGCATGTTAAATGTAACAAAGTAACTGCCTTTTTAAAGTAATGAGTAAACACCGAGATACATACGAGTTTAGGTTAAATGTTTACAGAATGCTTTAAACATCCAAAAACAAGTCAATGAAATCCAGCAAGAAGGCTAAACCGGAAAGCAAATCCTGAGGCATGCCATATACCAGAGCATGCAAACATACCTTTTTTCCCCCTCCCAGGTTAGATTAAAGTTTACTTTTAATAAACTCCACCATCATCAGAACTCCTTCTGTAAGATTAGTGTCAATGTAAGATTGAAAGGTGCAGTTTGATAAAGAGAACGGCAGACTCTCTTGGAGAAAAATTAATATTATGTTAGAAGGGCTAGTGCACAGACAGAAACACGAACGTCTGAGTCCAGCAATAAAGAGAGCGTGTGTTCTGCTAAAACGTCTCAGAATCCTTTGCTTGCAACACATGTTTGGCACAGTGGATGGAAACGTCAAGAGTTTTATTTATTAAGGGTAACATTTCAGAAGTGCTTGGTACAGTCACCGTTCTTTCCCTGGAGGGAGAGGCAAGGGAAGTGCAGGATTTTCACTGGTGGAACAGCACATACATGGCGTTCTTCCATCAGACTTGCCTGACAATAAGTGGGACAAAAACTAAGCAGGAAGAAGGACAAGACAGAATAAAGCGGGCTGGCAAGGGAATGGGCCAGCTGTTTTCCTACGCCAGATGATACAGCCTCTCCATGCAGGCAGCAGGAAGGTCACTTCATTCGTTTTCATCGTTGCTGCAAATTCAGAACTCAGCCGAGAGTTTAGCACGAGCCTTTTTACTAGTCAAAAGGCGACAATATTCCCTGATATTTTTTTGCCTCTATTCTTCACAGAAACCCATCCAGAAAAAAAAACACAAAAAACACTCGCTAGCCGGCAACCCCGCATTGATCAACGCGGCTGCAGTCGCAGGCCGCTCTCAGGTGGCTCCAGTCAGAGCGGCCTGCATTGGGGACAGACGCCAGCTTCCCCCCTATTCCCTCCGAAATCGGGAGAGCAAGCGCTGCACGGTAATTCAGCGGACGTATGAATGGTTCGAGACCAAGTCCCTTGGAAAGGAAAACGACAACCTTGCTATCTACGCGGTCACCTAAAACGAGGAAAGGACGTGGGTTTCACGTGACGTGGGGGCGTCCAACATGCGTGACACGACTCTTGACATTAGTTAAACCATTATATTTGTTCAATCGCACCTACGTCTGATGGAGCGCCCGAGAGCCTCCCGGACTGCTCTTCAGGAAAACTCTGTTCTGCTTTTAGAGGGACTCCCGGAGCCCGCCCGCAGCGGCGAGGAGCGATCACGACCTCCTCTGGACGGCATTCGGAGCCGCTCCGGACAACTCACCTTGCCTCTCCCTCCCCTCGGGAAGGAAACCAGGTGCTAATTCGCTCAAACGCCGTGTGAGTAGCCGGACCGCGTTTCAGCCTCCGAGCGCTTTGCTCAATCGGGGCGTGAAGCAGCGCCCACGCCCGTGCCCTCGCTCTCACCCGAAACCGGCGACTTGGGGGGGGGCAGCGGACACTTCTCCGGACGGGCTCCGCGGGGCACCCGTTTGGGAAGGGAAGGGAAGGGGGCAGGTGCGGGGGGACTCACCTGTACTGCTTGGGGTCGCTGGGGGACTTGACGATGTCGGGGTCGCCCAGGCCGGGCCCGGGCCGGCGGTC